TGAACTATTGTAGCATTTTAATTTTTTACTGCTCTTAAAAATGACGTTGGACACACACAAAAAACTCATCATTGATAAATAATATAAGTAATAACATAAGTAATAACCTACACGCTACAGCAATCAACAGTAAATAACATATTGAACATTTCCACTTCTAAACATAATTAGTGATAAATTACTAGGTATTAATTATATTAAGATAGAGCGATATCATTGACTATTGTACAATATGGTAATATAAACGCCTAAACGGGCTAAACGCCATATTATTTTATCTTAGTTTTCAGTTTTCTGGTATCGGAATATCGTATTCATTTAGTTTTTACCATATACATATTATAATATTATGATCCAAGATTTTTACAAACATAGACCATTGTAAGTAGTAACATAATCTAACACAGAATTCTCGTTAGCATTCTAACTGATGATACAGAACTATTGTAAATCATTGTTCTCTTATGTTATTCGGAAGCGAAATATTTCAGTGATTCGAATTATGATTATTTATAAATTATATGCATAAACGCAAGAATTCTAATGAGCTATATTTGATTTTACGTATTTTGTCAAACATACAATGTTCTTACATAAGTGAACCACCTACAATAATTCCATTTTTTCTCGCACATTTATGACAATTAATCTTTATAATAATATACTGTTATAAAGTGTCAAGTAATATTTTTATTGATAATATTTTCATATTTAAATAACAAATATCTTATAGAAACCATTTTTATTACGGATATGTTTCGTGGTTTAGTCTGTGTGCGTAATAAATAATAATGTATATAAATAATGTTAATAATGTAATAAATAAAAATGTAAAGTAGTGTAGTAAACCGTCACTTAACTTACAATATTTTAAAGCGCCATAAGTATAATATATACTTATGGCACTTTAAAATTTAGTAAAGGGACTCCGTCGGTTTACTACAGTAGGTACAGGACATATTTACTTTATTTGAAATATAATTGTTATGAAGTATTTTAATACATATTTGCCACACTATTAAGTATTCAAGTATTTATTCCAAATACTTTCAAAAAGTATATTTTCTCAAGTTTGAATCTTGTATTACAGTTGCAATATTTTTTAGCGAGAAAAACTGTTTTATCAACATTAATTGTTGAATATTAACTAAAAAAACGCGAAAGTTTAAATTGCTTATAAATAGTATAAAGCAATTAGTCTGGAAGTTTTCATATGAACACGTTCACGTTTTTTGGAATTATGAATGCGTTAATTAATTGGTCGTTCATTTAATTTATTTTATTTTATTTTTATGTAGGTATCGTTTAAATATCAAAATATAACGTAACAAAATTGTGAAAATCATAATATTATTGTTGTTTTATGTCTAGGCGTGCCCACGGGAATTGCATGTATTTTATTTTTATAATTCGTAATATATAATATATATATAAGTTAATGAAATAGTAATATAGTATTGTAAGTATTTTAATAGCATTATATTTTAATTTCAGCAGGTGCAAACCCATATCTTTGCACCTGCAACATAACACAAGAGGGTGCAACTGTACCTAATACTTTTGAGACTTTTGAGGGGTCAAAATTAAAATTCTCAGAGTACTAATTGAAAAAAACTGAAAAAAAAAAATACGACAATTCGTTAAAATGTATAAAATAATTATTGTTTGGTATTACCTATATTTTTATAATATTTGATTTAATAATTTTTAGGTATTTTTCATCAGTTCTATAAATGTCAATCGTTATAATTATATTACATGAAACCTATGACATCTTTCTCTTTATTCAATGATTAACGTATGTGATTGTGATACACTGATACCTTACGTTGCAGGGACTCGAAAATATAGCAACTAATGGGTCTGCAATCTGCATACTTCGCGAACGTATTTATTTGCTGACTTCCAGTATATAGGTACTTTTAATCCATTGTGAGTTAAGTATTTTTTTTTGTATTATTGTTAGTTTAGAAATGTTAAAATTAAAAATGCTGAAAATTAAAAGAAAGGGAAACGTCCTAACGGTTGTGTAATTGCGTGCCTATAGAAAAACGGTTTGTGATTTTTTATCGTCTTTAGGCTCTTGAGATTCACATATGGTGTTGTATAATATTGTACAAATAATTTAATACGATTCCCACGTAGGCGGGAAAAAATAAGACGCGTGTGTGTGTCGTCGTGTGTGCACGCATGATAGAAACTTCAAAAGACCATATTTTACTAACCGAAATGTAGATAGTCGATGCACTTGGCTAAAATTATTTGTATCCGCCTTTAGCTCAACGAATATGTGGTTCGTGAATAACATACTTGTTACCACGAAAATCCGTAAAAACCTTTTCTTTTTTAATAAACTATTTTTACCATGTACTGAATAATTAATAACAAATCATAGTTATTAGTTAACTATAGAAATAGAATAATTTTTTTATAAAATTTTATTTTGGGTAGTTTACGTGCTCTGTGCAACCTCTGTTTTCAGGGAATTTAAATTCTGGATCAATTAGTGGATGTAAGATTGTCAGGGCACTGTTTAGGTTGCTGTATCTGGCCCTCGGGTGACATGGAGAAAACAAATAAACACAAAGTAATTATTTTTAATTTTATAGTTTATACCGTAAGCCCCAAATAGGCCATAGTCCATGAATTAAAACTATACAAAAATAAGTACCTAATCGAAAATTGTAATCGCTGCCACCGCATCTGTGGTCGACAGTTTTATATAAAGAATTAATGTATTATTGTTTCTAATAAAAGCGCAGTGTTTTACTAAATTTCTAGTGTTGTCATTTTACTCAAAAATTATTGTGGTTCTCTCATTAGAATTTACAGATGTCCAGCTTTGAGTAAAAAAAAACATGGTCACGTTAGGTATGACACAACGATTTGTCTAAATATTGTCTCGAAACATTTTAAAGATCATTTATGTTTGCAAACAAACATTTTTATATTTTCAAACTCGATTACAAAGTCAAATAATAACGAAATATAAAAACATAATAATATTATGTTATACCAAAGTCAATAATTTTTGTAATCGGTGATTTTACTCTGGGATTGCCCAAAATTCATGAGCAAAAAAACGATTTTACGCGAGTTTTGTTCATGTTGGAATAATATAGACATGAAATAATATTGTTAGCTGCGTTCGTCGTCGTCGTCGCCTTCGTAGGCATCGCGTCCGTCGACCGTCGTACGGCATCGTATCATAGAACCGTCGTATCCATCTCCCAGCGATGGCGCCCGTTAGTCGACGATCCGTGTCGCCTTGGTGTCCGCTGCTCGCACCGAGCGCCGCGTTCACTCATCGACCCTCTCCACGACCCATAGTTGCCAACAGACCACTCCGCCGCCCTGCACCACCATAATATCCTTACAGCGTATCTGGTTGTGGCTCTGCGTCGCGCCGCCGCACTCGTCAGTCGTTTGTGTGTCGCACGTACCGACACTACTCGTCCGTGTTTGTTCCTGCTCCGGACGCGTCTCCACCAGCCAAGGTACGTTTGTTAGTTTTCTTTGTTGTAACTCTGTTGGGGAATACCAAACGTGGTTTCTTTTCTTTCATGTCGGCGGCGGCGGCGCTTTCTCTTGCTTCCTCTCTTCTGCGCGCCGCGAGGATAATATTGCCGGGTGGTCCGTAATTTTAATTCCAAATTATTAAATTAATCATTTCATTCTAATAATAGGTACTTAGTCGAAGAAACTAAAAATGGCTACTCGCGCCATTTTTTTTCCAAATTTATTTATTTATTTTTAATTATGACTGAGTTTATGAGTTTTTACGATTTACAAGATATCGGTTGAGACCACCTAAAACCATTTTCTTTTTTTTTAGTTTATCGAAGTAGATTATTCAGTTTTTAATTTTTAATTTTTTTTTGAAGTGTCAAAACTATTTTTTCAATTTTAAGAAAATATTATGGCTTTACTAGTAATCAATTTCAATAAGTGATTCAAGGAGTCACGTGTACTTATGTGCATGGGTAGTATTTGTTTTTTGAATTTTACACTAACAGCTTTCAAATTCCCCAGCGCCACGTGGTTTTCCGAACTTACATTTTTTTTTACAATGCATTTTAAAATCACATCAGCGTGTTCTTTATGCCGACAATATCTCCAAAACTAAACGGATATCTGTGTTTTTATGGATATATTATCAAGCGTTGTACCAGAGCCCTCAACAATTAATTTAATTGAATAATAAAATATATTTTTTTCCATCCGACCCACGTGCATCGTTCGAGTCGACATTGGTTTTTTTAAACGAACGTTACCATTAATTTCCATGTTGGGTCAGAATCTGTCAATAACCTTTCGCATTTTATATAATTGTCTGAAATTTTTAGACCAAACCTTAAAACAAATTGTCCCGTAGATGTAGAACTTGATTCTTTTTTTTCACTAAGCACATTAAATTATTTCTAAACCAACGTTGAATACACCCCTACGGTCTTCACCAATAAGCGGCTTTTTCCATTTTTTTTTCACGTTTACTCATTGCTAAAGAATTAACTTATTGTAAATATTGAATACTACAATGTATAAAAAAAATACCAAATGCGAGTAATATTTTTTATCTGCCCTATTTGAAATAATTGTTTGAAAATTACTGAACCACCATTTGTTAAAAAAAAAAAAAAACATTTTAATTAAATATATTAGGTTAGCTGTATAGCCAGTTTTCCATTATTATTAATTAAAGAGTGGATATGCCGGATATAGATCTTCATATTATACTTGGTAGTTAAATTTTTTTTACAAGTCAATCCATTTTAAATCATTATGACTCATGAGTTCTACATTCACTCATTATTTGGCTTATAATTTATTGTTTTTATTGGGCTTTGGGAAATTAAAACTTTTATTATAGTCGAATAATTTAAAATTGATCCAATTAGAGGAAAAGCTCCTGGACGAACTGTTTAATCAACAAATCAACCCAGTTTATCAGGTCCATCTGAAATTTCTCAAATACACAACCACAGCAAACGCCAGTTACCATGCAGCGTCCACCTCGTCAGACACCACCGCGAGCCGCTGGTGCTCCGCAGCAAAGGGCCCCTAGGCCACTTGCACCAAGACCGGTGGTCTCTAGTGCAAAACCACCAACAACTAAACAAGACCAGAATGCAGGAGTAAGATAACTTTTGAAATGTCATACATGTATGAAGTATTAATATGCTGTGTTTTTTCAAGGTGCAACAAGTTGAACAAGGAATTAGAAATTTGACTACAGGTAATATATATAATTTATTTCCTTTTTATATTTTTTTAAATATTTATTTCATTTTATATTTATTAAAACTATTAAAACACTAGGAGAAAATGTACCACAAGTACCGATTGGTAGAGGAGCGGTAAGAGGTCGAAGGCAAATGGACTATGAACATTATAGGACACCAAGACCACAATCTTCTTTGGGAGCAATTGGAAAACAGGGTAAGGTATAATTTAAATACTAAACATTTTTTTTTAACTATTTAGATTATCTGTGATCAGATGTACTACTACAAACATTAATGACATATTTGGCCGATGAGATTTAATGTAATAACTTGATAAATTTAGTAGCAAATATTAAATTGGAAAATTGATAGTGGTGTCTATATTTAATTTACTATATTAGTAAACCATATTATGTATGTAATATATTAGTACTATTATTAGTTGTTGTTATCTGTTTCTTTTTGCCTAGGAAATTCTGGACAGCCAGTAAAATTGTTGGCAAATTACTTTCCCATAACCTCATATACGAATTGGTGTTTGTACCAATATAGAGTTGACTTCAATCCCGAAGAGGATAGAATTGGTACAAAAAAAGGGTTATTAGGTCAGCACCGAGAACGTTTAGGAGGCTATTTATTTGATGGAACAATGTTGTTTTCTGGAAAACGATTTGATCCACCTGTAAGTAATGATTAATTTATTGATTATTCTAATTCTATTTGATTATTGTAATGCTATTTATATTAAAGAATTATTTTGATGAAGTTTGTTAGGTCTCTAAATGTTTTGTGATTGTCTATGAACTAGGTATTAAAATATTGTAAATTAATTTTAATATTTTGGTTTAGGTTTTTGAACTTACATCAACACGCCGCTCTGATGATCAAATTGTAGTAATTACAGTAAAATTCACAAATGTAATAGAGACCGGGGATTATGCCAACATTCAAGTGTTTAACTTACTCTTGCGTAATTGTCTTCGTCATCTCAACCTAACAATGATTGGAAGGAACTTTTATGATCCAGAAGCCAAAGTAAATTTGTAATTCCATAGGTATTATGTTTGTTATTTTTCTGACCCCTTTTAATTGATTTTAGATTGATATGGCTCAATATAAGCTTCAACTTTGGCCAGGTTATGAAACAACAATTGGCAGGTATGAAGATAACATTTTGTTATGTGCAGAAATTTCAACTAAAGTCATGCGTCAAGAGACAGTATTGGACTTTTTAAATCAGTGTGCTGCTGATAGAAATAGAAATAAAGATTGGATGGTGAGTTTAAGACTATTAATAGTTTTGTAGGATTTCAGTAAAATTAACCTTAAATAAATAATTAAATGACTGATATATTCTATTATTTAGATTAACTTTAAAAGTGGGGTTGTTGGTACCACGGTGATGACATCATACAACAACGAAACATACAGAATTGATGACATAGATGAAAATGCTGACCCTACATCTCAATTTAGTAAAAAAGATGGAACTAAAATGACATACATTCAATATTACAAAGAAGTACATAGCTCATGATGAATTTAATTATTTTAGACCTAAATTAAACATAACTATTACTGTTTTAGAAATGGAATTTGATCATTCGTACTGCCAAGCAACCAATGTTGATTTCAAAAAATAAGAGATCCATAAGGCAATTTGGGGAAGAAGATACATTGATATATCTTGTTCCAGAATTATGTGTTATGACTGGTATAACTGATGCCATGAGGTAATTTAACAAAAATTTGCTTAATTTGTATTAATTAATATACAAACTATCCTGTTTTAAATTATAGAAATAATTTCACACTTATGAGAGATATGGCCATACATACTCGTGTAAATCCTAAAGAACGCATGGGACGTCTAACAAATTTTGCAAATCGTCTTCTTAAAACACCAGAAGTAATTTATTTTCATTACTTTATTTAGTTTATAACAGTTCTTTGAGATTTTTAATTCTCAATCCTTTTGTAAAATTTATAAATTTAACACTTGTATTATTATTTAGTCCGTAAATGAATTGAAAAGATGGAATCTTACTCTAAGTAATAAGCTTGTTGAATTAACTGGTCGTACTTTACAACCGGAACCAATTCAAAGTCGTTCTCAAGGGTATAATGGCGGTGAAGAAGCAGATTGGACAAAACATTTACGCTCTTTACCAATGTTCACTTCCGCATCTGTGAAGAATTGGGTCATTTTAGCTCCTAGAGACTGTTGTCGAGAGGTTGATATATTTGCTCAGAGCCTAGCAAAGGCTGCTGAAGGGATGAAATTTTTACTACCTAGGCCCGATATGTAAGTTTCCTATGTAAGTTTTCTATTGTATATTCATAAACAAAAGTATAATTTTTAGAGTCCCAATGAATGATGGAAAAGCAAATACATTTTTAATCCATATGGAACAAGTAATAAATGAATCAAATCCGGCATTGATATTATGTGTTATTCCATCGGCACGTGGTGATATTTATAGTTTGATTAAGCGGAAATTATGTATTGATAGAGCAGGTAATTTCTTAATTTGTTATTAGTTATGTTTGCTGTGTATTTATCATTTATTCAACATTTATTTTTAGTACCATCTCAAGTAGTACTGTTGAAAAATGTGCAAAAAAACAATTTGTCTGTATGTACAAAAATTGCTATTCAAATAAACTGTAAACTTGGTGGGGCTCCTTGGCTAGTCACCATTCCTAAAAAAGTAATTATATTATGTATTCAAATTCAACTGTATTTACTTACCTAAATCATTTTTCAGGGGATGATGATAGTTGGTTTCGATGTATGTCATGATAGTCAACGGAAAAATATATCATTCGGAGCTTTAGTAGCAACCATGAATGATTCTCATACTAGTTACTTCAGTTGTGTTGAACCTCATGAAAGTGGAGAAGAACTTTCAGTTCATTTTGCTACTGGCATAACTAGTAAGTACTTACAAACCTTTCTATTGTGTTGTGTGACAAATAAGATAATATCAACAACCTACATTTTTGTAAACGTTTCGAACTGTTTTGTTACAATTAATAAATAACTGACTAATCATTGAAGTTCTTAGAAAATTTGCCTGTGAAAGTACATGAAATAATACATGAACATGAAATATATTTAAAAAAAAATTGATATTCATAAATAATTATAATGGGAGTAGTAATATGGGTAGATATTCAAGTTACTATTTATGTAGAAACTACACTAGAGTTTGAAATCTTATTGCAACAGTCTGTTTGCCCTCAGACTGTATGGAATGTGGATGACAGTCAATAATTCCCTTTCAAACACCCTAAAATGTTAAATAATAGTGTTACCCAACCTTTTTACTTCTGGAGTATTTAGAAACTTAATAGATAACAACCACTATAATCTAAGTAAAAAGTAGATTTTTTTCGCCAAAAACCAGAATAATAACTAAACTAAAATCAGCGCTTCTATTAGAAAAAAATTGGGAGACATGTTGCATAATCACGTAGTTATATTTATTAAACCACAATTTTCAATATAATTTATGGTAAATTGTGAAAATAATATTATAAATGCGTGGAATAAAAAACAAAATACTTATAAAAGTTGATTTTTCAGAGGCCTTGGCCAAGTATAGGGTTAAAAATGGGTCATTGCCTACTTCGATTGTTGTATTCAGAGATGGCGTTGGGGAAGGCCAAATATCGCATGTCCATAAGACTGAAGTTAAACTTTTACAGGTATATTATATTAGTAAGGCATAATATTTTAGATTTCATATTGTAATATATATATTTTTTTTAGACTGCTTGTGAACAAGCTTATGGACCCAAATCGGTTCCATTTGCGTTTGTTATAGTTACAAAACGTATAAGTGCAAGATTTTTTTCTCCTAGCAGTAGAGGCATGGATAATCCTCGACCCGGCACAGTTATCGATACCGTGGTTACAGACCCAACCAAGTAAGCTAGCCCATCGATTATTTTACTTAAGTGTACATTTTACAATGAAATAAAAATAACTTAACTATGTTGTATTTGTATGGCTTGGCATTTCATATTATATTACCTGTTTGTTTTACAGTAGTATGTAAACAATATTTAATGCGTCATTATGAATTTCAGGTACGATTTCTTTTTAGTTTCACAACATGTAAGGCAGGGTACTGTCACTCCTACACATTATCAAGTGATAGAAGATACACTTAGACTTCCTCCTGATATAATGCAAAGACTTACATTCAAGTTGACTCACATGTACTACAATTGGTCGGTTAGTATCCTTTGTGTAATTATTTATTATACCCATTTAATGATTTTAACATCACTCGTAGGGTACTGTGCGGGTTCCTGCTCCATGTCAGTTGGCACACAAATTGGCTTTCCTTACCGGTCAGACCCTCAGACATTCTCCTCACACTGGATTGGACGAGTTGTTATACTTTTTATAATCATGTATTCATTTGATATGGCATCATAGTTCTTAGTTATAACTCTTATTAACTACTTCTTCTGAAGTAATATTTTTATTTTACTGATCTTTTAATAATGTTTACGACAGAATACAGTTTTCTTTTTATTTTAGGTTTTTTAATAACTTATGTTATATTACTACTTTAACATTTAACAGTTACATTTTAATTTCTTGAAAAAAAAATTGAAATGATCACTTATTTTTTTTGCATTATTGAATAAAGTTATCTTAAGTTTACTTTTATTTAATAATTTTAAATGTAATTTTAAATTTTACCCTCTTAGTGTTCATCCTATATTTCTAATAATTAAGTATTAATAACCCTTAATTTATGTAGTGAAAATTTCACTGTTTCAATCAGAGTGGTGGCTTAGTAAAATACAGAGAACCATTTATCACAGGACATCTGTATAAAGCATAGATATGTTTGGCAACACGGATCATTTAAAACGCTGCCTAAGTAAGACTGTTTAATAACAATGTAGTTCTGGCGATCGCGTCTCCTTGAGCAGTTTATGTTTTTAATTTTGTTATACATGAGTATAACTGCTGGTTGGTTTCTGTGTTTCTTGGGCTTGATTTAGATGATATATGAACATAAAACAGATAAGCCCAAGTGTCCAAATTCCTATGTTGTTTTATGACACCTATACTCTGGTATACTTGCGTTCTATGAATCACTTATTTGGGACAAGTTTCTTTGTGCAGGGCGTAAAGTGGTATTGAAAAAAAAACAACTGATTTCTGTCTTGTGGTTATTCTTTGCGACAGCATGATGTTCTATCAAAAAATTATGAAATTGAATTTCAAAAGTAATTATTGGTTGTCAGTATTTCTTTACATATTTACATCTACATGTTAGAAAATTCATCCGAAATCGTTCTAATCTATATTTTAATACATTTAAAATAAGATTTGGATATCTTTGTTAAATAAACTATCTCAATAGAGGGGATAACTAACAACTGACAGTTCCTGAACCTAAAGTAAGGTTACTACTAAAAGTTCTACTATTAACAAAACAATAATTTGAGGAAATAATTACTATGGTATATACAGGGGCTAAGAGACTGTCCCCTGTGACACTAGCGGCGGATCCAAGGGGACGGTACGGGGGTACTTGCCCCCCTAATCGCCATAGTTTTCCTTTGTTTTACACTGTTTAGCCAATTTTGGAACTTGTAATTTCCGCCCCCCTTAAAAAAAAAAAAATTAGCTCTGGATCTGCCACTCTGATACTCTCCGTGTCCCCTGAATGACAAAATGTGTGTTACCTATTCTGTAAACTCAAGGTAATTACCTAAATATTTTATTTCTATACTATGGAGTATGGACAAGTTTATTGTATCAAAAAAATAAATGATAATTGGTAAATTCAAAGTAATTAGGTACCTGCCTTATTTAAAAATAACTAAACATGTAGGTACATAAAATATTTAAATTATTCTATGCTTCGTCTATGTCTATTGAAATTACAATATTGTTTACTGTAATACCTATTGAAAAATTAACTAGTAAGAGCATCGTAATATTTAGAATATTCCCTTAATATTATATAATTAGGTATATCGTATATGTAGGTACCATAACATTTATAAATATGCAATTTTGTTTATTTGAAGGCTAAAATATGTTAAAATATTTAACTGATTATTTTAATCATATATCGGATTTTAAGGGGAACGCAGCAGACGTATTTTTCATGCGTTTTAGACCAATAAGCGGTAGTAAATTACACATACTTCGGAATGTCCGATTTTAATTTTTTATACATGTATGAACTCTTTGACAAAATATCTAAGTTATTTAGGAAGTCGATTTTCAATTTTCAATTTTAAAGGACCTTAAAATAAGGATTTTTTTTTCAAAAATCTCATGAAATAATTGCATTACATTTGTATTTATTCTGGGCACATCTAATTTTAAATCAAAAAAGTGATTCCTAAAGAGCATAGTCTAGAAGTATATAAATTCAACCATATTTTCAAAATTAAAATCGGACTTCAGGAAGTATGCTTAATTTACTACCGCTTTTAGTAGTTTTTATAGCATTGCAAACATGAATATATTTCATTTTTCGTAAAGTATTGACATGTGCCTACGCGTGCGATAGTTTATTTCGGCGGCGCGGCGGCTTGCGGCTGCCGACGGGCCGTGATAGATTCTCGGAAAGTTAGAATCAATTAGCCGATAAGGATTATTGGATAGGTATAGAACATTACTAATGGGCGACAATAATAATATATATTTTTCCAAATTTAATACAACAAACATATATTTAAATTTTAAGGAAATACAAAGTATAAAAATACTACCTATGATTTGTGAATCATTTGATTTCAACACAACACGCCGATCAGTAAGGTTGTCTGTAAGTTTTGTGTTCTTTTTAATTTTTTTTTTACAAATTAGGTTAAGATAGGCGTTATGAGAGAAAAGCTAGACGTAAGTTAAGTGAACCTAAAATAAAAAAAAGGTGGGCAAGTGAGTGTCGCTCTGCTGTACAGTAGGTTACAAGTGGGTCACTGTATAATGGATGATATTAAATTTGAATTCAACGATATAATATAATTGTATAAGAAAAACGATTCTGAGCGGAGACGGTATGTCAGTCTATGTATAAGACATATTATATACATATCTATGGTATTAAACAAAAAATTGACCTATAATAGGTACCTATAATAAATTCCAAATTAATCATATCACAATATCCATTAGGTACTTATAACACGTTATACATCAATAATAAACCCTGATAATATCATAGATATATAATATAGTGTACTTTAGAAGTTTCAAGTACCCACGAATAGTATTATACACTCACAACAAAATAACTAAAATAGGTATGCTAGGTTTTTTAATATGTAATTTCATCCCAAATTTGAACTTAAAATGACCATAAAAATAAACTGTGTTTGTGTATTTTTTAGATTTTTTGGTAACAGAATAAACTACTTACGTGGAATCTTGTTTTAAATTTTCAATCCTATTAGCTATAAAAACTGAACATTTTATAATTTATTAATTACGATAATTGATAATTTTCGAGATTTTGAAAAATTCTGTCAAAATTCGATCTTTAAATGCTTATAAAAAAAAATTGCGCCTATGTATTTTTAATATTTTTCAACTGATATTGTAAAAATATTTCAGGAGCCTTGTATTAAATTTTTACACTTTTTTGCCCAACAGATAAAACTTTATTGATATTCATAGAAAAAAAAAACTAAAAAAATTTAAAACTGAAAAAGTCCGTAAACAGCTCAAAAAGAGTCAACATATTTTCAAAATTGTATGGTGTAAAGAAAATGCTAATTTAAACATTCGGTGAAATTTTCATGTATCTATAGTTATTCGTTTTTGAATTACAACAAAATAAGAAAATCGCTACATGAGAAATCGAGTGAATATCCTATGTTGTAAAAAATTTGAATTTCAAACGCTCATAAAAATTTAATTTGACTTTCTTATAGAAATTTTTTTTTTTTTTTTAAAGGTAGATAATCTCATAAGGAATCATGTATTACATTTTCAAATCTTAGATTTAAAAAGAAACATTTTTACGAATTCTTAACTCAAAATAATTTGCTAATTTTCGTGATTTTTCCATATTTTGTCAATTTTCGAACTTTAAATGCTTATAAAAAAAAATTGTGACTAAGGATTTTTAATATTTTTCATCTGCCTTTGAAGCAATATATTAGGAGCCTTCTATTAAATTTTCAAGATTTCGCAAACAACAAATAAAATTTTATAGATATTTTTAGAAAAAAAACTAAAAAAAAATGGAAAATGAAAATATCCCTAAACAGTTCAAAATAAATCAAAATATTTTTAAAATGTTATAGTGTATAGAAAATGCAAATATAAACAACCAGTGAAAATTTCAAGTGTCTACGGTCATTTGTTTTAAAGTTACACCAAAAACCAAATTCAATTTTGTGAAAAATCGATTTTGCGTAAAAATTCCCGTTTTTCCTTAATTTTTCTTTTGTTAATCTTGTCGCTTGTGAAAACTATTGGGAATTTTAAATTTTGACCTTCCAAAAGTACCAACTAGATTCACTTTCCCATCGAACAAGTTACTGAAGTTGAAAATCGAAGCACTCTTTCGACTACTAATCGTGTACACGGACACAAAAATAAAAAAATTAAAAATTAATAAAAAAAAAACACACATCATTGTAAAATCAATACATTCATCGTTTCACTCAGATCTATAATAATGCGCTCGATTGAACATAATATATTGTCATTTTTATAGCATTTTAATTATACGTAGTTCTGGGAATTCGTAATACTGTCAACCGATAGTCCTAGGCACGCGATAATGGATTACCCACACTAATGTTCATTTACTACTCACACATAGACATAGCCCAAATGTTTCACGTTATGTGAATTGCCTAAATATTACTCCTTAAAACATGACACGCTGGAGCCCCCTTAAAGAATTTTATAGTTATTTCGTCTTAATATAACTAAAGTCTAAAAGGATCTTATATTATAACAGTTTATTTAACATACCCAATGTCATTTTCTAAACATAATCAAATTTGTTTTTTAAAGACCTTGAATAATCTTATGAACTATTTTGTTACATAAATTATATTGTAATTGATGATGATAAGTGATAATATACAAAAATATTTAAATATTTACTACCCACCACGATTTAAGATAGTATGGTTGCCCAACGAGGTATGATAAGATGGCATTGGATTTAAATCGGACCCCCGTTGCTAGCGCTTCTAGTGGACTATTTTATAATTGATAAAATAATATGATCATTATATATTATATTTTTATTGTATTTAGGTATAACATAACAATTTTTATTAGTTTTGATTTGAACCATTATGAGCTCTGCATGCGGGGGACCCCGTAAATCACGTGACTTTTCGATTCAAACCGTATGCCGTGTGATAACATTTTTCTAATGGGTCGATGGGCAACCGTACTATCTTAAAT